GCACGAGGGCGCTAACAAGGGCGCGCGAGGGCGCTAGCGAGGGCGCGCGAGGGCGCTAACGAGAGGCGCGCGAGGGCGCTAGCGAGGGCGCGCGAGGGCGCTAACGAGGACGCACGAGGGCGCTAACGAGGGCGCACGAGGGCGCTACGAGGCTAGGGCACGGGGTAGCGTGGTAACCGCATGCGAGCGGTGGTGGGCCCTTAAAAAAAAACGGTCGGTAGGTCCTAGGGACCTCCTGCTCTGAATACCATGTTAGAAGAACTAGGCAAGAATGGTGCATTGAATGAAACAGTTGGGTACAAGTAGCAAACCCTAGTTGGGGTTGTACCCCATATTGGCTACCCCACTACAGCCTACCAACATATAACACATTACAATTTAACAGTATTGCTACAATGGCAGTGGCTATTGCGATCCTATTCATTTACCTCGTTGCAACACGAAACCTCCGAGACGGTTGCGTTCTGCGAAGCAGTTCGCAACCTCTCGGTCCAGGTTGGTCTGTCAAAACATGTTTCTATGCTAGGATATATTGAATATAGGGGGTACATCAGTTTTAGGGTTTCATATTTGTACTAACGTTCTCACTTGTTCATTCATTCACGTTCTTTAACATGGTATCAATTGCTAGGTTAGGACCATTCGTACTGCCTGTTACTCGAACCTAATCGACACGCTGCCCCTCGCTAGCTCTTCCCTGCGTACGCCCTTCACGATGCCCGTCGCGCCACACTTGCGCTGCCCCGCGCACTGCCCTTCGCGCGCACCGCACGTGCCCTTCGCGCTGCCCTTCGCGTGCGCCCTTCTCGCTGCCTGGCGCCGCCACTGCTCGCACGCCGCTGCTGCCCACGAGCCGTCGCTGCCCCGTGCGCTGCTACTGCCCTGCCCCGTGCGTTTCGTGCTGCCTTGTGCGTGCGCAAAGCCGCGCATGTTCGCCCTGCCCCGCTCATTCGCTCTGTCCCCCATGCTGCCCTTTGTGCGTGCAAGCATTGAGACCTCATCGACAACAACAACCTTGACTTCGCCAAACTGAGAGACGTCTGCGGCTGCTCCCAGAACACGGTTGCCTCTGCCGCTGCTGCGCAGCATCCCCAACAGCAGTGTCTCCAGCACCAGAACTTCCAGTACCGCCAGCTCCAGCACCTCCTGTACTCCAGCGGCGGGACCTCCAGCCAAAACCTCCTATACCACCAAATCCAGCACCTGCAGCACCAGAACCTCCAGCACCTACAGCTCCAGCACCTCCAGTACCAGAGCCTCCAGCACCTCCAGCTATAGTACCTACAGCTCCAGCACCCCCATAACATCCAGCAACGGACTAGGGAAGTGGTAGCGACAACTGCCGCTGTTTTTAGAACAAGGGGAACTGCGACAGAGGTTGCACCACTCCCGCAGCACCTCCAGCAGTAGCACCCTCGACTCCACCACCACTAGGATGCTTAGCACCCCCAGAACCAGCACCTCCAGAGTCAGCACCCCTTGAACCAGCACCCCCAGAATCAACACCTTCAAAGTCAGCACCCCCAGAACCAGCACCTCCAGAGTCACCACCCCCAGAACCAGCACCTCCAGAGCTCGCACCTCCAGTGTCACCACCCCTAGTAGCACCGGGATCCACACCAACAGGTTGCAGAGGTGGTGAAGACGGCCGAGGCGGAAAACCAGGAGAACCCTTCAAGCGAGGGGAGCGGTGAGAGGCCGTTGTGTCGTCACCAGCAGGGTCACCTCCCTCAGCCGGGCCCGAGGGGTCTGATGAGACCTCCAAAGACTCAACCAAGGTGAGTGGTGTGCCGTGAGACACACCTGAGGGAGCTGGACGTGAGGGGGGGAGGGGGTCTAGCATGGGGTAACCTGGAACCAGGAAGAGGGGCGTTGGGGGGGGGGAGGGAGGGGGGGGAGACCAGGGAACTGTGGTGGGGGAAGAGACGATAGTAGCAGTCCGACTCATCAAATGTGACGGTGGGGGAGGACAGGACGCGACGCGTTGCTGGGTGGTATAACTGCTAGTCGGGCACGTTGGTGGGACAGCCAAGGAATATGCAGCAAATAGTGGAAGGAGAGAGCTTGCCTGCTGTAGTATCGTGGACAAGGGCAAGCAAACCCCATGCCCGAAACGCCGACGCATCGCCAACCTCCCCCGTCCAACATAGTGTAGGTGAGGTCTCTGGCTCGGAGACACGGGGCCAGGTTGAACTGATGTGTGGCGTATCGAACCGCAAACGGCCACGGAAAATGGGGAAAAGCCGCATGGATCATGGAGGTGCGAGCAACCTCTATGGTCAAGCCAATGTGGCTTAGCGATCCCATTCTGCTGTGGAGAGGCTGGAAGCGTGAACGACTGGGTGATGCTCCCCTCTCGACAAAACTCCTCAAGAAGACTAGAGACAAACTCGTCACCACGGTCAAAGTGCAGACGAAACACCGGGAGGTCCTGACAGAAATGTGCGCTCAGCTGACGATGAACAGCGTGAATCCAAGGGATCAAAACAACACGAATTTCTCCCTTATGCTCTAAGAGAAGCCTGTGGTGTAGAGCGTGTAATCGTCAATGACCAGCAGAACGTGGTGCGGCCCACACGTCCATGTGCAGCATCTGCAGAGGAGCAGTGGTCGAAGAGAACGAGGAGTGAGGAGCGGCATGCTGCCGCCCCTTGACGTAGGTTGTGCATGGTGGGGTAAGCGATGGTGAGAGCGGGGGGCAGGGTCCGCGGGAGGCCAGAATCAAGGAGATGCTAGTGCATGCGATGCAGACGCTGCAAGGAGGGATGACCAATACGGGTGCCCCTGAGGAGGGATGGGTGTGTGAGTAATCGACACGAGCACGACACAACTACCTGACCTGACGCGACCGCCTGAGCAGACTCAATATGCAGAATGTACAGGCCAGACCCAGGCCTCCAAGTGAACGTGGCGACGTGGTCACCAGTCACTGTGTCCATATAGATCACCGCGCGCTCTCCTCCAAGAGTGGAGGTGGTGACCAATAAATCGTGGAGGTGAGCAGTACTCACCAAGTTCATAGCGAACGAGGGGAGGTGGAGACTTGTGAGGGAGCCAGAAGGGGCTCCCGGACATGGGAGAGCAGTGGAGCCGCGTGCAACGACTGGGCCATTGGAGGAATCAGCGAGGGTGACAGGGACAAGTGTCGTGTGTGACTGTGGTGCAGTCGTGGAAGAAGCAGCGAGACGCGCGTGTGTCTAACGTAAAGGTGTGCAAAGCCTTCAAAGCGGCTGCACCTGTGCTAGCAGTCTCACAAGCACCTACACTAGTAGCCTCAACACTACCATACGTAGGCACACACAAATAATAGTCACCCTCAGCACTAGCACCAGCAGCATACATAGCATACATGCAAGCTAAGATATGGTCCCAATTAGGAAAAAACACATCTACGCCTTTCTTGAGCATTCCTTACCAGTCAAGAGTCTTGATCTGCTCACCAAACTCCGCTCGAAAGGTGTTGTCAAGGCGGTAGAAGCAGCGACCCTCAGTGTACCCAAGTTTGCCGCACGACGGCCCGTGCACCGGTAGTACTGGCAGCGACCTCCGCCTCCGAGATTGCCTTGCTAGGCAACCCTCTCATGAAGCTTGTGCAGGGAGAGAGTCTCCTGTTGACGTGGCTGCTGCTTCTGCTGCACGCCCCCAGAACCTCTGCCTCCACTAGCTGCACCACCTGACGCAGCTCCTCGGGTGGCTGTACCCGCGCCTTCACCCCCGCCAGCTCCACCCCGACCCCCACCCGTGCCCCCTGCACCACCCCCACCACCCCGACTGCCTCCACCAACCTAGCCACCTCCACCGCCACTGCCACTTCGACCACCCCCACTACCACCACCGCCACCACCCCCGCCAGTGCCAGTGCTAGTACCCGCTCCACCACCCCCACCGCCCCCACCGGCCCCAACCCTAGTACGCGCACCCTTGCCTCAGCGCTGCCCCGTAGGGGCAAACGCAGCACCGACCTTCTCAACTCCAAGGAAGTCAACAGAAGCGGCAGAGGCAACAGCAGGCGCGAGAAGGGAGGGGGAGCGCCCTTCGAAGAAGAAGGGGCGGAGAGTACCACAGGAGGCAGCTACAGCACATGCACTGGTCTTGGCCTCGAGGAGAGGGGAACCAAACGAGGCAAGGGTGAGCTCAGTTGGGTCTAGGGATAAAAAGTAGTCTCGAACGACACGAAGTGAATCAGAGAGGCGTGTTGTGAGGAAGTGGAAATTAAGATAAATGGAGGGCTGGTTTTCAACCAGAATGTCTGGCTTGAGCAGGACGGTAGCGTGTGTGAAGGGAGCACAGGTGAGTCATAAGGTCGGCTGCAGTGGTGAAGTCAGATAGCTTAGGGGAAAAAAAACAGTGGCAGAACAAGACGACCTAGGGTGTCTTGGCCGTTTTCAGCTGGTGAAAGTGGGACGTTTGGTCGGCAGGGGGTGAAGACGAATTACAAGCTGGGCAGTAGCATCGCGTGGTAACCACTGTGTATGAGCAATACGGTCGGTCTTAAATTGTTGTCGCTGGTCGTCAGTAGCGACGGGGCCATATTGAATCGGCAGGGGCAGAAAGGGACCCCCAACGTGTGCTAAAAAGGCGAGGCATCATCGTTGGTAATGCTCTGCACGTACAAGTTAAGGACTAAAAGCCAGGACTCAAATTTAATTGGTCGACCCACTGAGTCAAAGGTGAGTAAAGTAGGCTTGCAATGGCTGCAGCAACAGTGGTGCAGTGTACGAGTAGCAGCGACGCAAGGCAGTTGTAGTAGTGGAGTGCACAAGCGGCAGCGGCGGTGATGTTGCATACGGGCGGCGCACGGGCGCCGGCTGTAGCGGCAAGATTGGCAGCTGTAGCAGCCGCGGTAGTGGCTGAAGCGGCAGTGGCGGCGCCGGTAGTGGCAGTGGCTACTCTAGCTATAGCGGCAGAGGTGGCAATAGCTGTAGCGGCAATAGCTGGTAGCAGTGGCAGGTGTAGCGACAGCGGTGGCTGCTGTAACGGCAGAGGCAGCAATAGTTGCA